ATATTCCACTTTTGCAGTCAAATTTGAGAAAACACCACTACATGTTTTTTTTCTATCTATATATATTACCTATTTAGATGTTTCTTGGGTGCAGGCCTTTAAACAAACTTCAAGTTACTCTGAACATTTTTAAAGTGAGTCTGTCCTCAAGGCAAAGTGTGGTCAAACTGAGTTTTCTCTTATTAACATGCTAGGGCAGACAGGTTTCAAATCTAGTTCACAAGTGATAATGACATATGCCAGCACAGTACGGACATGGATAATTATGGGAAACATAGCTCCCTAACCCCCTCCCTAAAATTACAGAGAATGGAAACAATTCAGCTTTGACGTTTGCAAGAAAAAGCAGGTAAAATAGTAAGCAATAATGTTTAAAAATAAAAGCGAACGATGGGGTAACCTTTTTATCCCATAGTTCTCTTTAGGGTCACGGGAGGACATATACTAACCTCCTCCTGTGACCCAAAGCTTAGTACTGTATATAGTGGGCTATTGCCCACTATATACTGCGAGCACCGCAGCTGGGACAGATCCCAACAATACTGTCTGGATCCACCCCATTGGCTCATTCACAGCGGGCTCTGCCAGTCAGTGCTGGAGGAACGGAGAGGAATTCCTGCGGGGATCGGTGACTGACAGTCACGGCTTTCTGCAGGGAGATGATCGGGAAGTGAGCGAGCGATGGTATGTGTTCGTTCACTTCCCGATCTATAGAGCCGACGTGTGACAGTTTCATTGTCACAGGTCAGCTCTAACTATGAGGATGAGTGAAAATCACTCACCTCATAGTTCTCCTTTATGTTACGCTATGTGAATGGCAACTTGTAACAAGTATAAAATAGGTGTTATAAAAATTTGGTTGCAAAAGTGTAAATGCACTTTAAGCAATGTAAGTCCTCAGACAGATGGTAAGAGGAAGCAGCAGACAGTGGCAGGGTCAGCGGGCTGATGGTCAAATAATGCACAGACAAACCAATCCTATGCAGAATCCAAGTTCCAGACAAGTAAACACAGACTGATGATAGCACAGGTAACAGGCCAAAGACCAGGATAAGCACATCAAGTAAAGCATAGTTCACCAAGCAAAATGATGATGTCTGACTCAAAATCCTGGACTGTATATGACTCTCGAGGATTAGAGTTATGCACAGCTCTTTTTTTTTTTGTCTTCAGTTATGAGCTTCATAAACAGAGAGCATACCTCTGAGTTTACTAAATGCATACATTCACATGATGTATACATTAGGACTCCTATCCTCAGCATGACCAATTCTGCCCATTGATTTTTAAGTTTTGTTCAATTATGCTTGGATGATGTCTTGATAAGATGTTTTCCCAGAGCACTATGTAACCCACCTCTAGAAATCTGCGAGATCTCCAGAGGGAGCTGATGTCCAGAAGAAAAAAAAGACTTTAAAAGAAACTTAATTTCTTTCTAACCCATCCTCCCCCTCCACAGATGCATGCTTATCCAGATCTGAGGGCCGGCTGTGGCCTCCGGTGTTAGTTTACATTTAGCACCGTAAGTCTCGCTCTCTTGGTCATGCCTGCACATTACAGCCCTATTGACTTCTATGAAGTCTATGGGGCAGTAATGCGCAGACGCAGTCAGAAGAGTGAGACTTACGGTGCTAAATGTAAACAAACACCTGAGGCGGATGCTGTTAAGTCAAGGTAAGTATGAATCAGTGGAAAGAGAAGATGAGTTAGGTTTGGTCAGAAAAAGAGGAAAAAAAAGGATACGTGAACTTTGTCTAAAAGTCTTTTTTTCTGGAGATCCCTGGGATCCCTAAGGGTGGGCTGAACTTATCCTTCAATTAAAGTGCTTCCAGCCAGTGGCGTCACAAGGGGGGTGCGGCCCTCTTCTCTGAGCCTGATGAAGGGGACCCTGCGTGGCCCCAAAAGCGCTTGCAACCAAGATGCAGCAGACGACAATAACTAAACATTTGATGCAGTCATTAATCTGGTGTGCTGGTGACGTTCCTCAAATATCTATATGTGGCGGCACCATCCACGATCATTTCGAGCACCCGTCTGCATATCCATATGGGAACCCCAGTAAGGAGTGCAGCAAGTATCTTCCTTTTTGTACTATTGCAGGGGTGACACCAAAATGACTGACAGTCATTTTGGTGTCACCCCCTCTAAAAAGTCAGGCACTCGGTCATGGACCGAGGAGCCCGACAGTGTCAGGAGAGAGGAGGGGACCTGGCGGCATACCTCATCCCGAGGGGTGAACTTCCCCTCCTCTCTCTGCCAGCGTCCATCACCAAGATTTCTGCCGGCACGCGTCAATCAGGCAAAATTATATTTTTTTAAAAGTCAGCTGATTGCTATGATTGCTAAAGAGATGTTATCTGTTAAGATTCCCATATAGTTTGTAGATCACTCCTGGCATTATACTGATCCCCATTGTCAAACAAGTTAAAATTGTGTATTCAGCCTATCATAAACCCACAGAACAGATTGAAATACATAGAAAATGATTTCCTTCTAGGAAAGGAAGGTAATGATTTTTTCTTTTTCCTTTTTGCTGTCGGAAGGTACAAAGATGGGAATGATCACATAGGTGACCACAGAGATGACGAGAAGGAGCTTGTCCCACAGAGTCCTATTGCTTCTGTGTCTTTTGGAGCCTGCAGGGATTTTGTCTTCCGGCACAGAGACGCCCGCAGCAAAAATTCCATATCTCAAATTCAGCCCGTGAAGCGAGAACTGGAACATGGAAGCTTGCTTATGATGAATTTTCCAACCAATGTCTATTGGTATCACAGCCTTCCAGTAAGAAGGAAAGTGATTGCTCCTAGAGTTAACTTAACTTTCCGTCAACTTATGTCACAGAACCAGAGAAAAACAGAGCCTGGGAAATAGGAGATTATCTAGATCAGTGGTTCTCAACCTGTGTAAGGACCCACATTTGCCCTTGGTCATTAAGTCGTGTCCCAAGTCCTACTGCACTGGAACGCACGACATTGCAGTACCGTGCGTTTCAGTGCGGGCGATCAAACTTGGTGGGAGGTGCATTTTGGGTGCCATTCAAATGAATGACAATGCAACACACCTCCTGCACCAGAATGCGCTGTAGGTGCGATCGCGTTACAGTGCATTAGTCGTACGGGACTGTGGGATTAACGCACTGTACTAGTGTGAATGGGCCCTCAAAAACACTGACATACATACACAACCACAGACACAATCTCACACACACAATCCACACAAATTTTATTTTTGTTCTTTTTTTAAGATCCACCCAGTCTCCCTATTTTACAAGAACTGGAGTGGATCCTCAGCCTGGGGTCCAGTGTGGGCTGCTGTGCTGTGACGGAGTTCCATCCATGTGTGTATTGATGGTACAGCTCCCCTGCGGGTCCTATAGAGGTGGCGGGATTTGACGCATCTCCGGTCCAGGCGCCTCTACAAGACACGTGAGGGAGTTGTGAGCAATGCACGTATGAATGGAACTCCCTCGCGGCCATAGCCCCACCCCACCTCAGGGTGACACTCAGTTCTTGGTGTGAGAACTGACAGTACTGTGAAAGGGGGAGGCTGAGGAGCCTCTCGCCTAGAAAAGTGGAAGGCCTGCGGTGACCCACTGAACACGGAGTCGCGACCCACCAGTTGAGAACCAATAATCTAGATTGTACTGCAAGTTGCCTCCATTTCAAAAATTTCAAAATGCCCATAGGTTTGTGACGCCTTTCAGCTAATGCTTGTATATTAAAGATAATCAGGCATTACATGGTTTATAAAGCTGCAACAGATAATCTTGAAATATAAAAGACCCAGGTGAAAAAAAATAAGAATCTCTTGTCCATTGGATCCATATTTAATTATTGTTTGTATTCTTATACATAACTATAATGCAATTGTGTAAATAAATGTGTATGATGGTGCACTATTTGTGTTTTCATTAACATAGTAGAAACTTTATCTACAGTCTGTAAAGATAGTTATTGCTAGAGGATGCTCGTCTCTAAGGCCCCATTTACACTTGCGAATGGGGCCAGATCGCCGAGTCTCATTGATTCCTCCTGCTGCAAGTCAGGGGCACTGTACAACACAGTGACAGCTGTCACCGCCCACAGCAGATCATATGAGTCCCATAGGCTTAAAGCTGGTCATCTGATTCTTTAGGTTTATCTGTATATTGCTAAGGCTTGACTGAATAAATATTAACTAATAGGATTGCATAAGTAGATCCATGTGCTACATAGTTCATAGTTTTTTAAATCTAAAGGAGATTGCAAGGAAACTGGCCAGCCTGTGAGATAATCTTTGCCCAACAGTTTGATTTCTGGCCAGGTGGAGCAACAGCCATCATCTGTAGGCACTAGCAGTGCACCACAAACAACCTCAATTGACCAATCTCATGAGAAGGGGGCTTGGAGACAGTAAGCCAAGCTGGATAATCTAGGTCGAATGCCAGATCGAAAATTATGTCACTCTCCTTTCAGAGGGTGTCTGATCCAGACGATGCTAGCTATTGGCCAGCAAGAATTTAGGAAGCTGGGGGACTTTATATATGTTTTGGACATATACTAAGTGTTCTTAACCGAGACTCGTGGATTAGCAGCAAGTGGGCACCCCAACTCCCTGTTCCTGAACTTGCCAACAGATGGCTCAGGTAGGACTGTCTGGTATACTGGGTTCTGAATTATTGTGGTGCCTTTAAAGGAGAACTATGGGGTTAAGGCTTTTCCCCATAGTTCTCCTTAGGGTAACGGGAGGACACAAACTAGCGTCCTCCCGTCACCCTGAGCTCAGTATACCGCAAGCTGCAGCTCACGGTATACTGAGACGCCGCAGCTGAAGCGGATCACGACAATTATGTCTGGATCTGCCCAGCAGCGTGACTGACAGCTGGCTCTGCCTATCTAGAGGCAGAGCCGGCTGTATCCGCCCCTTCCCCTGTCCGTTCCGACCAGTCAGCGCTGGTGGATCGGAGCGTGGGGGTTTTACGTCATTTTCAGGCCTAAAATGTGGAATATAACATGGGTGCAAAAAATGAAAAAAGGGCCTCAGTCATGAAGGGGTTAAGGCTTCCTTTATGTTTGGTTATTTCTATTGGCAGGATGGTTAAGATCCTAAAAAGGCACACATTAAAACCGATTTATAAGTCCTGTGGCATATGCAATAAAAACATTTGGGAGAGTAAAGGCTGAGGAAGGCTCTGAAACATTTATGGATATGGTGTCAGACTTTTGGCAATAAGTTAGAGAAACCATTTAGAAAGTGCATTCCCCTTTTTGTATCCTCTGTGGCTTCTTTGCAGCCTGTGTTGCTACTCCTCCTAAAAAGTGCAGCTTTAGGGCTAGTTCACAACCGACGCAGTTGTGATGCAGTCCGTTCAGTTTGGCACAATGCTTTCCAATGGGATTTCTGGTGCTCTGTTCACACCAGTGCAATCAGGAAAAAATCCTGGTTGCCACATTTTAGCTGCACCTGATCGTAACGGAACACATGCTAATTCACTGAACTGCATCTGAAAGCCCATTTTAAGCTAAAAAAAAAAAAACCTGTAAAATCGTGGCAAAAAGCATCGAACTGCAGGTGCGGGCAGTTCTGATCTGGAGCAGATTTGCAAAAGCAGTAGCAGCTTTAAAATAGGCTTTCAGGTGCAGTCCAGTGTGTTTGCATGTATTTTTGATGCATTTCCCTCCTTACCATCTTGTCTTGAATTGTATTGTGACTGTAATGTCTTCCTTATATTGTAAAGCGCTGTGCACACTATTGGCGCTATATAAATCCTGTATAATAATAATAATAAAAATTTCCATGTGTTCCAGAAAAGGGAAAATGAGACAAGCAGTTTTTTTTTTGTCTGGACCCGAACAGACTGCGCTGGTTTGAGCAGAGCCCAGAAATACATAGGGATATGTTGGGATGCTTTTTTGGTCCTAGAACAAACTGTCCTGGTCTGGACATGGTGTGAACAAACTGTACCCCGAGGACTTTGATTAAATGATTTATGTGCATTTATAGTCAAAACGTATTTTATTTTTTAGTAGGTAATGGTTAAAGCCCCTTTCATCACTTATTTTTTTTTTGGTGCTGCCTATGACTTCGTTGGTAGATTCCCCCCCTCAATCTCTGTCCCAGAGAAACAACAGGAATTGAGAAGAAATGTCAACGAAGTGAACAGAAATTGTCACCAGGAGAGGTGGCTCCGCTGTAAGAATCTCCCTATTTTGTTGTTCTGGTAAACTTGAAAAAGTTTGCAATTCCCATTACGTTCTGTTCTGATGACAGAGATGGTAAATCTCTCCAGTGGAGGCACATAAAGCAATATGTAATACAAAGTATAGAACTAAGGTCAAACAAAATAGATATAAAAATGCCCCTGTTATGTTTCTTGTTTAACCCTTTCATGACCAGCTTAGATGCCCACACCATGTAGTATCAGTTAACTTGACAATAACTCTAATTTGTCTGTTTGACAGTGGGGCTGAAAATTAGGAACATTATCTCCAAGGGCAGGGGTGTGGAATAAAAACAAAAAAAATAACTACTTGTCCAAGGACTAAAGCGGGGGCCCAATCTACTTCTCCCTCATGACAATCTACTTGTCCTGATACAAAAAAATTAATTTAACCAAAGCCGTATTTAGTAGTGCTAAGAAGCGCTTCTCATTGGTCAGCACCGTCAGGTGACTGTGCTGACCAACAATGCTTGCAATTTGCGAGCGAAATTCAGAATACATGACACAGGTACAGATAGTACACCCGTACTGGTGGATGGGAAGGACCATTTGCTGAAAGGTAAGTATAGCAGGGAGGGAGAGGGGACCAGGTTTGTGCAGGTAATTCCATTTTACCAAATTACTTGGGAAAGTAAACTTACTCTTTAGGGCTGGTGCAGACTTGGGCGATCGTGTGCGGTTGCATACAGCGGTTGCCACGTGGCCGCATTGGATTTCAATGGGGTTACATCCGCGGGGCAATAACTGAAAAAAGGTACATGTACCTTTTTTCATGACAGGCGTGCGTTTTTTTCAACCATGATTATGCACGATTGCACGGGCGGTATTGCAGATGGTAACCGTGCAATCTGCCTGGCGTCACTGGGTGCCATTAGAAAATAATGGCACTGCCAGCGCGATCGGCAGTGCTGTGTGATTCTGTGACCGCCTGGCCATCCGCACGGTTTCGTGCACGATTGCCGCACGGTCACGAATCACCCACTCCACTCACACACACAGTGCCCTATGCATGTGTTTATTTGCATGCAGATGGTGGGGGCAGAGGGGTTAGCTTTCATTTTTTTATTTTTCATTTACATTTATTTTTTACCTTAACTTGTTTATTTTATTATTTTCTTTACTATTTTCTTTCACTTGACTTTTTTGCTATTTTTACTGCGTCCTAGAGGCCCCGGCATCTTATCCTCCTTTCTCCCCATTGAGAAACTCATGAATGAACAGGAAGAGATGTAAATCACATCCTGTTCATTTATAACTCAGGGGACTCAGCTGATCGGTCCAGTGTTTGTCCTGCACAGAGGACCGGTACATATCACTGATATGTACCGATCCTCTGCCGCTCGGCCACGCACATGGGGGCTCAGCTTCTCCCATGGATCCCCCTGCTCTCCCGGGCAAAAGCAGCGGGTATCCGCTCGGCATTAGTTCTATGACAGCGACTCTGTCCTCCACCGGTTCCTTCACTTCTTCTCGGATCCCCGCTGCATACAAATGGGGAGAGCAGCGGGGATCCAGAGAAGCCCCACCGGCGGGAGGAGAGGACATCGCGATCACTGGTAAATCACAATTGACCTTATGGGCACCCCTGCTCTACAGGGTGGGAAATGTGTGTAAATGACAAGAATGGCTGTAGAGAATTATAAATTCTTTGGCAAATAAAACCATAAACATAATTGTTTTCCAACTTTTAGATCGTAGGCCCTCCTTACCATCTTGTCTTGAATTGTGAAACTGTTGGTGCTATATAAATCCTGTATAATAATAATAATAACAACAACTGTGTGGTTAGCAGTTTGCCTGGAGTTTTACTTTAGTATGGGGTGAATGAACTACTGTGGATTATCTCTGAAGACTAGATGGATTTTGGGTAGACCGTTGCTGCATGGGGAAGGAGGAGAGAAGCAGCCTATCCATCACATTGGTTATGTCCTTATAGGGCTGTTGACAGTAGAACTTGTGGTTTCTGAAGGCTCCAGCAGTTTTGGTCACCGTTAAGAGAATTCCTCTGTGGTAGGGGCATAGGGAGGAGGGTACGGTGTCCATCTGTGCACTCGGTGGAGCCCAGTGCCATCTCTCCTGAGAGAAGGGGCTTGTAGCAATAGCAACAGCATATTGTGGTGGTGAATATCTGTGCAGCAGATAAAAGTCTATCCACATAACTGGCAGCCATGGGATGAAGAGTTACTCTTAGCGAAGATGCTTGCTGTAGTTTTGTTTATTGAACTTTGTATGGACACTGGTTGTATTATTTCCAGGCATGCAAAAAGGGCCCAAAACCAAAGTAGTAGGGACAGAGTGACAGTTGATTGGTGTTTTTCTAAAAAATTCACATCAAAGTTGTTGAGTATTTTCAACAGTTATTCTCGAGTTAAAAAGTGCAAGCGTTCTATGATCCTGTAAGCTGATCAATGTTTGAAAAATATTTTTTTAACAACCCCTCTAAATTGGCATGGTCAGCAATGCATCATGGTCATCACAACCTGCTTTTTAGATATAGGGACTCGGTTCACTAAAAATAAACAAACAGGAAGAAGCAGATCAAAAGGCTACCCTATATGCACATAGGGAAATACAATGTCAACTAGGAATGAATGCCATCATAAAGAAGAACTTGTAGCCATAGCCCAAGTGCTGGAGCTCCGGTCCCATGTGTGCCTTGTTTCTCATTTGACTCTAGTTTCTTCTGATATCAGAAATCATAACTGCTCAGTCACCTGTTTAACAAACTTGATTTGTAACAACTGAGTAAAATTGAACGAATGCAAACATTTTGCAAGATTCAAACATATGACAACATTTCTGCAATCTGTGGACTATGCCATTGGGAAGCATAGCTGGGACCATGAGAGCTGCTTTGACCTTTAACTCCGAGGTAGCCAGAATAAAGAGAAAAAGAAGGTATACATGGGGAATGAGTTCAAAATACAAAGCCGAGAAAATATAAAACCAATGCTACAAGTTACATGGCAAGAGGCCTCTGCCCTCTACATACTCTAGAGCCTTGGTTCTCAACTGGTGGGTCGTGACCCAAAAGTGGGTCGTGAGCCCATGCTCAGTGGGTCGCCGCATGCCTTCCACTTTTCTAGGCGAGAGGCTTCTCAGCCTACCCCTAGCGCAGCACGATCAGTTCACGCGCCAAGCAGCCATTCATATGCTGAGTGTCAGATCGAGGTGGGGTGGGCTGGAGCTTTGCATTGCTTACAGCTTCCTCGGATGGACCGCAGTGACATCACGTTCTGGCTCCTAGCATCTCTACAATGCACGCAAGGGAGTTGTACAAGCAATGCACACATAGATGGAGCACCGTCACAGCACAGCAGCCCACACTGGACCCCAGGCCGAGGATCCACTCTAGTTCTTGTAATGTAGGGAGACTGCGTGTCTGTCAGTGCTTTTGAGAGCCCGTTCACATTAATACAGAGTGTTAAATCGAACAGTCCTGCACGATTAACACACTGTACTATGCAATCGCTCTTACTATGCATTCTGGTGTGGGAGGTGCGTTGCGTTGCCATTCATTTAAATGGCACCCCAAACACACCTCCTACCCACAGTTCAATTGGCCGCACTGCAACGCGCGGTACAGCAAAGCTGTGCGTTCCACTGCAGTGCGACTTGGGTCGCAACTTAATGACCGAGGACAAATGTGGGTCCTGAGCTTACACAGGTTGAGAACCACTGCTCTAGAGCAAGTCTAGCTGCAAGCCAGATCTTTCATGGGTCCTCCCCTCAAGGGCCCAACCTTTTCCCTATTTCCCTTTGCTAACATGGCTCTATCCCTGCCTAAGTTGCGAAAGCAACATCTCTAATCGTCCCACCGCTTAAGTACACTGCATTTGTTTGCTATGAACCAATATTCAGTCTGGATGTCCTTGTTATTTGAACTCATGCCCTTCTGTGTCTGCATTAGTGACCAGACACAACTGGGCTTGTGTGAAAAGCTAACCGTAACCTTTTCTTTGTAAGTTCATGGAAACCAGCATATAACAAAAGGTATGGATGGGACTTGACCTCATAACATACAGCAACAGTTTCATAACTCCAACAGTCACCACTGTAGATATGTTTTGAAAAAATATTTATACTCGGAACACAAGTTGTAAATATGTACACAAATAAAAATTTTACCTAAACTCTGGTACAAAATCATTTGTTAATAGAGGAACAGCTTATGGTAAATCCAACAAGTTACTCAACATTTTGTAAAGTTTTGATAAGAGTCAATAGTATTTTCCTTTTCTTCCTTTTGCAAATAATCCTCCAATTCTTGAACCAGTGACTTGTCCAGCAAGAAGCTTTTTTGGATGCAAACAATCAGGTGCACTGGCAAATACCTTGTAAAGATGGTAGGAAAGAAAGTCAGAAGAATAAATTATAGTGAAGACAGAAATAATTTGTCAAACTGATCATATAAGCAAGTCTGGAGTTTTTAAATTTACATACACTATATGTCTCCTTATTTGCAATGGGATGACACATACATGAAGAAAAAATGTATATGGACTCATGCTTGAGAATATATATAACTGTCAGGAAAAGTCTGTAATCCATGAATTGCTGCAAAAACCTGACTTGATTGTTACATAAATGATAATAAATATTGTGAACCTTTACACACAAGAAGAATTACAAGTAGAAACATACAATACTTTTAATTAGTCAGTGAAGATGTACACAATGATAATTTCTTTACTTCCAAAAGAAAGCACATCTTATTTGGACTCACTTTCTTGCCAATATGTCTCACAAAATTTAAGCTGGTTGCTAGGCACTTTGCTGCCTATATTATGATATTTGTCTTACCTGTAAAATCCTTTTCTTGAAGTACATTACAGGACTTAGGATGAAGTATTTTGACACCATGCATTATGGAGATTGGACACTGGAAACAAAGCTGTAAGGTCAGCCCTGGTAGGACCTCTCCCACTCCCAGTAAAACCTGAGATTTGTAGCAAGCAATAACAGCATGAGCAGATCATAAGATAAAGGAGAAGGGTCAGTGACCCATAACTTAAAAAAAAAAAGGATTTTACCGGTAGGACACAAATCCTATTAACTTAATCATACAGTATAGGACACAGGGTGGGAGTATTCTGGAACCGTGGTATGTACAAAAGCAGTCCAACTGAGGGGTGGGCAGCACAAAATATGAACGGCTAAAAGGCCCACAAATAAAAGAAAAGTTAAGTCCCTACGGCTTACAGGGCTGCCAGAAGAACCTTATGAGCGAAGCTGGCATCTGCTGAAGCCTGAATGTCCACCTGGTAAAACTTAATAAACGTGTGAACAGAAGACCAGGCAGCAGCCTTGCAAATCTGAGAAATTGAAGCCTTATTTTGAATGGCCCAGGAAGCACTATCAGACCTAGTAGAGTGGGCCTTGAACAGGAAAGGAGAACCCTTGCCCTTAAAGTCATAAGCTACAATGTTGAGTGGTTGAATCCTTCTAGAGATGATGGAACGGGGCCTAGAGTGGGAATGACATATAGAACAGCAGACTGACGTAAAGAGTCTGTAGCTGAGAGATAAAACTCAAAAAGCGTGTACCACATCCAAACAATGGAGGGAAATCTCTTGTTTAGATGTAGGACATGGTGAGACAATGTACGGGTTTCGATGAAAAGAAGGAACCACCTTGGAAAGTAAGAGGCCCTAGGCCTCAAAACAAACTTACGTAGCACAAGAAAGGGTTCTTTACAGGTCAAAGCCTCCAGCTCAGAAACTCACCCTGCAGAAGTGATGAGGGCGAGAAAAGCAACCTTGCAAAGTTAAGGGTGGACAAGGGAATGTTCCTAATAGGCTCAAAAGGATTCTCTGAAGGACCACCAGGACTAGGATGAGATCCCACAGAGTCACAGGAGGAACAATGTGAGCAACACCCTGTATTCACTAAGGAGTGAGAGGTAAGCAGTTTCTGAAAAAGTGCTGCTAAGGCCAAGATTTGACCTTTGATGGTAATCAAGGCCAAACGCTGATCCAGACCAGACTAAAAAAAAAGACAGGATTTGTCCCACATGGAAATTCCTGGGATGTAAACTTCTTGCCTCACACCAAGCGAAGTACACCTTCCAGATGCGATGGTAGAACTTTCACAAAGTACATTTCCTAACTTTTAAGAGCCCACCTTTCAGACCATCACTGATTCCAGTGCCAGACTGGAGATTTATCACGTCAGGGCAAGCCTGATCATGTTTGTCAGGTGTATGGAACCATCCAGACACTGAGCTTGCTTCTCCCACACTGCCAGAATGTTGAGTTGCAATGGTCTGGAGTGAAACTGGGCATACAGAATTTCCTCAAGGTGGCCATCATTAGCCCCAGAACAAAAGGTTGGGTGGGTGGTACTCGACCATATGGTCCAAAACGTGAAAGTGTAGAGATTGGACTATGTCCACTGGATGGAAGACCTTGATAAGGCCCATATTCAAGATAAGGCCCAGATACTCAAAGCGATGAGTCAGATGTGGTGATTTCTGGAAATTTGGGATCCACCCGAATCTCTGCAGGGTCTGCACTGTCTTTTGGACATGGTCGAAGCCGACAGTGGGGACACCGTAAGAGCAAAGCAGACCGTGAACAGGGGCTAGCGCGTTGGTAATGACCCAAGGCACTGTGGACAGACCAAAATAAAAGGCAACACATTGGTAATGTGTGCCCACAGCAAAGCCAGGTAGCATTGATGTGCTATAAGGATTGGGATGTGCAAATAAGCATCCTTGATGCCTGCAGAGGCCAGAAGATCTCCCGAGGGAAAAAATAACTAACTGGGTGGATTTCATAAGTAATTTTTAAACATCCTCAACAAGGACCAATAAAGTTTTGGTACCACAGGAAATAGTTGGATCTACAACCAGGTCACCCCACATCTTCAGGTACACCCCTCTTCAATATGATATTGCTGAAAGAAACGCCTGGAAGGGGTGAAGATCTTTTTCAGGATGAGGCCAATCACTGTACATTACAGACAGTAAAATAAAGTGTATAGGTAAGGTTTCTGCAGGCCAAGGCATTTTTAGGGAACCCAGGCTGGTAACCTTTGGCAAAGCCAACACAGTATGCTTTAAGCTAAGGCACATGTGTACTGTGTCAATAAGGACAGAAATGGAATCCTTAAGTTTGAAAGATATATCAGCAGACTGAACCGTCTCATGTGCCAAGTCCTCTGAAGCAGCTAAGATCTCATCCTTCTCATTGAGAAGAACAGAAGCAGCCAGAGAAAGAACCGAGATGGACTCTGGGGGAGAGGATGAGTTGGGTCATTTGCAGCCCCTGTGGTCAGAGGCCTCCAATAGGGGTAAATGTTTTCCCCCATAAATTCAGACACAGCAGCAAAATTCCTCTCTCAAAATGGAGGAGGGGGAGCCCCTGAAGTTCCCTGAGGAGGGCATTGATTGGGATAAAGGGTCTGGGCTTGTCGAATCGGGACGCTTAGGGGAAATATTGCAGAAACCCCTGCTTACGAATGTGTGGTTTGGCCTTTATTCACTAAAAGAGGAACTGCACTTTGGAAGCTGTGGCCACAATAAGGCAAGTAGAGGACAAAGGGCTAGTCACCAGTATTGTCTGTGGTCTCCCTTCAGCTGATCTTTTACTACCTAAACATGCCTTATTCTGCTCTCTGTGTGAAGTTGGCCATCTTGGCAGAGGTAGACTCTGATTACTCATGTCAGAGCAGAGCCTCCAGCAAAGAGAACAGTGAGCAGAACAGTAATGAAATCATCAGAACAGATCTGACTCCAAATCAACTCAAACTAGCAGCCTGATATGCACTACATATATACACTTTGGGCAAACAGGAAGTGCACTGCTATTTTCCAGAGGAAATTCCAGACAAAATGGTATAAATTTTCAGAGTAATGCTTAGGAACAATTAACATTTCTAGATATTCCCTATAACGCAGCAATTCTTCATTTTTAAGTTCAGGTCCACTTTAAATAGAAAGACATCTGCAGCCTGGCGGACTTTCCACTCAGTTTGCACAGCTGAATGCAGGCCATGGCACACATGCATGTATTGCTTTGAGTATTTTAGCAAAAAGCAGTGCGGCACCAAGTAGGCAGTGAAGATCTGAGAACAGTGGGGTTGTAGGTACGTATTGCCTATAGTGAAAAGTGTTTGTGTGTTATTTGTCTGTGTCCTGGAGCTGTAACTGGAAGTGAGAGGACATTTCCCCAAAGTGGGAGAATTCCTCAGTCTTGTCAGCCAACTGTCTCCAGTATATTTATCACCACTAGATTTCCTCTCGCCTCTCACTCTCTTGACAACTCTAAAAACTAGGATTTGCTCTTATTTTGTGTTTCAGTGACGACAGTCAGCAGGACAAATAAAGGGGTGCATCTCTCTGGTGAGGAAACATACTGAAAAAAACTGACAGGGGTTTTAATCCATGTCCATTCTATCAAAAAAAAAGTTTTGCCTTTACATACACTTTATGCTTTAAAGTGAACCTAAACTGAAAAAGATATAAAAACATACTGCATTATTTTAGGAAAAGGTAAAGAAATCTCTTAGACTGCCATTTACTATACTGACAGTAATTACACATTGCTTTTGTGATTTATTCCAAAGGTCTTGGGTAAATGTTAAGAGGCTGCTCAAGTAAAGCAGCTGATTGGACAGGTCTGCCTTAGTTACTTTCCTAAATGTCTCTGGCAAGAACCAAATGGTTAACCCTTTGGCACTCGTCATGTAGTAGGCAAAGGGAAAATGTTGTCTTACCCTAATTTTCCCAATTGGCACTCTTTTGGGATCCCTTTTTTATTTTTCCTAAAAAAAGGTTACATCTTAAAACAAACTGTATTCAATTTTAGAATACTTTCAGGAATACATTTACCTCTTTATTTCTTCATATTGCTCAAGTAGGTACTCCATTTTACCCTGGTACCTCCACCTCCTAAATTCATGGGCTACTTCTTTCTTATGCTCTGTCTTCCACAACAATCCAATAAGGCAGAAGAATGTACCTGGAAACCCTAAAAAGAAAATTTCTATTATATTAATTTCAGGTAACTTTTACCTTTTTTTTTACAACAGCTCAAATTGTGTAACCACTGAAAATACACTATAGCTAACCTTTGCACCTATGATGAAGAAGATGTTTCTAATACATAGACTCCAGTAAGTAAAATATATATATAATAATGGGTATAAACCACAATATTCAGCCAGCATGTATAATATATCTAATATCTTTGCCTCCAGGGAGTATAATACACTTGGCGTAATCATGAATGTTTTATGAGTGAACATACAATCACTGTTACTTTATTCTACACCCCATATGATGCATCTTGTATATTGGTCTCCAGTAAGTATGATGTGTCTGATACTCAAATCTCCAGTAATTATCTACTGAAGTATGAAGTGTCTGGTACAGTGGTCTCCTGCAAGCATATTGTGTCTGGTACAGTGGTCTCCTGCTAGCATATTATGTCTGGTACAGTGGTCTCCTGCTAGCATATTATGTCTGGTACAGTGGTCTCCTGCTAGCATATTATGTCTGGTACAGTGGTCTCCTGCTAGCATATTATGTCTGGTACAGTGGTCTCCTGCTAGCATATTATGTCTGGTACAGTGGTCTCCTGCTAGCATATTATGTCTGGTACAGTGGTCTCCTGCTAGCATATTATGTCTGGTACAGTGGTCTCCTGCTAGCATATTATGTCTGGTACAGTGGTCTCCTGCTAGCATATTATGTCTGGTACAGTGGTCTCCTGCTAGCATATTATGTCTGGTACAGTGGTCTCCTGCTAGCATATTATGTCTGGTACAGTGGTCTCCTGCTAGCATATTATGTCTGGTACAGTGGTCTCCTGCTAGCATATTATGTCTGGTACAGTGGTCTCCTGCTAGCATATTATGTCTGGTACAGTGGTCTCCTGCTAGCATATTATGTCTGGTACAGTGGTCTCCTGCTAGCATATTATGTCTGGTACAGTGGTCTCCTGCTAGCATATTATGTCTGGTACAGTGGTCTCCTGCTAGCATATTATGTCTGGTACAGTGGTCTCCTGCTAGCATATTATGTCTGGTACAGTGGTCTCCTGCTAGCATATTATGTCTGGTACAGTGGTCTCCTGCTAGCATATTATGTCTGGTACAGTGGTCTCCTGCTAGCATATTATGTCTGGTACAGTGGTCTCCTGCTAGCATATTATGTCTGGTACAGTGGTCTCCTGCTAGCATATTATGTCTGGTACAGTGGTCTCCTGCTAGCATATTATGTCTGGTACAGTGGTCTCCTGCTAGCATATTATGTCTGGTACAGTGGTCTCCTGCTAGCATATTATGTCTGGTACAGTGGTCTCCTGCTAGCATATTATGTCTGGTACAGTGGTCTCCTGCTAGCATATTATGTCTGGTACAGTGGTCTCCTGCTAGCATATTATGTCTGGTACAGTGGTCTCCTGCTAGCATATTATGTCTGGTACAGTGGTCTCCTGCTAGCATATTATGTCTGGTACAGTGGTCTCCTGCTAGCATATTATGTCTGGTACAGTGGTCTCCTGCTAGCATATTGTGTCTGGTACAGTGGTCTCCAGTAAGCATATTGTGTCTGGTACGGTGGTCTCCTGCTAGCATATTGTGTCTGGTACAGTGGTCTCCTGCAAGCATATTGTGTCTGGTACAGTGGTCTCCTGCTAGCATATTGTGTCTGGTACAGTGGTCTCCTGCAAGCATATTGTGTCTGGTACAGTGGTCTCCTGCAAGCATATTGTGCCTGGTACAGTGGTCTCCAGCAAACATATTGTGCCTGGAATTTTGATCTCTAGAAATGGTTTTAAATCTGGTAACATCATCTCCATGGAACATGATTTGCCTGCTCCTCTGGTCTCCATCGAATACCAAGCATCGATTATACTGGTCTTTGGTATGTCTTATTTTTCAACACTGATCAATAATATAGTGCAAAAGATGAACATTGATGTGTACATGTTAAAAAAACAAAAACAAAATGTGAAGAACAGTAAAGTTTACAGCAGTTTTAAATGTATTTGTTTCTGTTTGTTAAAATCTATGAAATTATGCATTAAAAACTATGAATAGGGCAGGTTTGGGCTGAATTTTCATAAATGTATGGTAACATGCTTTAGGATATTACTTGTTGTTTGTAAGTTGGCATACAATTGTTGGGATGGGGGAAGCCAAGACCAGTGGGCACGGTTTAGTATATGTACTTTTTATCTTTAGACCCATCACATGACATCCTGGGGTCCTCAATGATGCAGAAAATAACTAGAGGAGTTGGGGACAGGGCCGGAGGAGGACAAAAAAATGCAGCACTGGAGCGTGGAGAGTACTGCCTCCCAAAGGGGAAGGGGGAGGGAAGTTATAGGGATTTTGGGAATTTGAAGGGACAAAATATTTCATATTTAAAACAGCAAATCTTACCTTGTATGGCCTGAAGGGCAAGTCTCACATTCATTTTGGAACTCTTTTCATCCCCCATCTGCGAGAACTGGTGACTTCTGCCCAAAAAGGCTGATGCTTTCAGAACTGTAAATACTTTAAGCTCTTTGATGTGATCGTTACCCTTAAAAAAACCTGCAACACATGGAAACAGCATAAACCCTAAATGTGTGAAAAAAAACTAAGTGCCAATAAAGGATGTTTAATTCTTAATAACATGTGTGGTCAATAAGAACACTTTGGTGACCATCTGGGCACCAGCTCAATTAGTTCACACAAAGAGGACTTCCATAAACAGCTCAGCATGATGACACCTCTACTCACCTATACCTGTGTTCATTACTAGAAAATCTCTAATCATTACTAAAACAGCCCATTTCAAGCACCACTTGTTTAGGAAAGGGTCTTTAGCTACATCACTGCAACACAATTATTTATTAGGGGTCTGTTACTATAACACAAACTGTGGTTAGCTCTAAAACTCACCAGAGTCAGCAAACTGAACTTTCATCATTAGGTTTATACACCTGAAAAACAAAAGACATAAGTATCAAAAACACAATTATCTAGAGCACAAGTATCAAACTCAGTGGCCTAACAATAGTCACAGCAGCCCATGTGGCTGCTATGGTGCCTCTGGTGGGAGGGGGGCTCTGTTAGGGACCCTGCTGTGGCAAATTAAATTGTAATGTTTCCAGTCTAGCAGAGCTAGATCACTAATCACAATCAGGATCGCTAATCACAGATGCCCTTTGCTTTATCTGTGCAGTGTGTGTTTTTAGGTTGTCCCTTTCAGCACTTGGTGTGGGAGCTCAGAAATTACACGTGGGGTCTGATATTTCCTTAAAACAACCAGGGACCTACTGAGCCACATACCTGCGTAAGAAAGGGTAGCTTTTATCCACTGGAGGACAGCTTGGGCCTCGTTTGAATTCTTAAATCTCTGATGGCCCAAGGAAGTGACAGAAGGGCTGCATATGGCCCAAAAAATACCAATGTGACCTTGGATTATTATGGAAGCATGGGCATAAAAGAAAATTATATGTGAAGAGACATGTGACTTATTGCCAGAGTTGGTTTGGAAAATTCATATAGGAGACAACTACCTTGATGCCAGGACTGGTTTACTAGACCTCTCATTTGTTTTCTGCTGGATGGTCAATATCTCTTTTATGTATAACATCTGTGGGTTCCTTTCCAAGTAAAACCTACTGCTGGATACAGGAGGGAAGTGGTAATCCGTGAAGTTGTAAAATAGTGTTAGGGCCTGTGTCAATGGACCAATGCAGCTCATTTCCAGATACATTCCATTTGCATTTGACTGTGAAGGTTCTCATTCATCCAGGTCGTGGTATATCTGTAAAAAATAAGTCAAGGCAACTGGACTTGCTGTATTTTTCTTGAAGACGTTTCACTGGACATTCAACCAGCTTTCTCAATTCTGAATTGAGAAAGCTGGTCGGATGTCCAGTGAAACGTCTTCAAGACAAATACAGCAAGTCCAGTTGCCTTGACTTATTTTTTACAGATACATTTGCATTTGAGATCAGTTGGAGACAATTCTGAGATAAATCCCAGTTCATTGACAAGTGCATTTGAATTGCAGTCGACATCCTTCAAGCTGCTTTTGAATTCCCATTAACTTGTATTGGGAGTGAGAATACTCTGGCACAAACATAATCACACAGATTCTTAAGCTGTCTAATTTTCAACACTACTGGCAGACTCCATTTAATGTTAGGGCACTGTGCCCCTATACAAGAAGGGAGCAGTCTTAGAGTACTGACCGGTTACTTTCCATGTATAGATTTTTACCTGGAGATATAAGAGGAGCTTTGCCTTTATATTACCTGAAGCAATTACCTTTCTGTAATACTTATAGGCTCCCTGGCATGTTGTGGGATTTTACCCCTACTTTAATGGATAATGACAGCTGGGTAGATCCAGTTGGATTATAGTTTGGCCTCTCTCCTAGGTGGAGAACAACAAATATATCTGGCTATTGCTTTTAGAACATGCACAACATCTACATCTAATAGATCTCTCTGGCGTGGAGATATTCAAACTATAACCATCACAGAAGACCACTCCCCCCCTTCTTGTGATTTGAGGCTACTATTCTACTTTGGAGGACCCTGTGAAAACCTTTTGGAATGTAATATTATCAGCAGTCACACATTTAAGTGTTTGTTGTGGGGGGTTTTTAAGTATGAATTTGATTATTGCTAAGCGACTCCAGTTTATTTAAGGCTTTATTTTATGGAAAAAGTGTAAAACCTGCAAGATTCAGCAAGGGATACCCTGTGTAACAAACAACAGATTTCCAGTTAGACTGGACACCCTCTTAAAATGAACTGGCAGCATTTTCAGTCTTAAAGGGTATGCAAAATGAAAACAGTAGAGAAGGGTTGGACCCTCTCCTAAGGTTTTATTGCCACCTGTGTCAGCACCGGGGAGATCTGCCATTATCACGACGATTAAAAGTAAGGGCAAATCCTACATTTTGGAGTTGCCATAAGAACAAGAAGTGAGGCTCTGGTGACACCTGCTTAAGATGGGAATTACACACTTATTTAGGAGAGATTTCCTCTCATTCCCTGTTGTGTTTACAGGACAGTAAGTGATACTATAAACTATAAATATGACCAGACAGCATAGATCTACACCCACATTTGCTGTGCATTCCCACATATCTAATCAGAAATCTTTAGGTTTTTAAGTGTCATTCAGCGTACCTAGTGTATGCAGTAACTGACTCTTTAAGATTTCCCAGCTTCCCTTGAGCTTCTCCTTGAAGGAAATGAGCTGTGGATGCCCACAAGACACTGTTCAGCTTTTCAATGTAAGATTTAGACTCGTGACTAGTCTCTGCTTCCGCCATGGTTGCGATGCCAGCTGTGATGTGAATGAGACTTTCCAACACTTCTTCACTCACTGTGATAGCGTCCTGAAACCTTTTAGTTTCTAAAAGCGCTGCGGCAGCTTCCAGGTAAATCACCGGAATTCTGGGCAGGGTAGCAGGGCTGGGATACATACTCTGACAAAATCAAATATAAAGAATTATTAGACATTTGCCCACATTGCAGGGAGTAAACATATATCAGTTGTCATACACAAACTGTGCTTTGGTAAAATCGATATGAATCCACAGGTGTGGATTTTTTTTTTTTTAAATAAATAATAAGCACAGTGAGCTTTTGCCAAAGCCCTTACAAGCCTTTCTCCACTGCTTACTTCTGCCTGAGATTCATTGAGTAATGCGGTCATCAGATCCATGTAATGTTCTGCTGCATGTTCAGTGCTGCAAAGAAACAGATCATTTATCTTCATTGATTTTCCCAAAGGATATATTCTAGCCCCGCTCTCCTACTCATAATTCAGGAAAGAATTGGTTGCATCAGTGATGACTTAGGACCTGATTGCATAAGTATACCTCTCCTTTAAAATGGAACACCTAAGCCTCAGGTGTTCCATATTAAAGGAGATGTAAACTTATGCAATCAGTTATTCTAGGTTTATAAGTGAAAGTGAAACTGCAGCAGAGAAAAATTGGGTCCTCTGCCCATGGTACAATGTTTGCAAATCAGTAAGGCCTTGTTCACACCAAGCGTGGAGCAGATCCAGACCAGAGCAGGTGCAGACCGGATCAAAACTGCGTCCAATGTATTCCTGTGGTATTTTGACCTCCAGTTCACATCGCAGCGTGCAGATCCAGACCAGATCCAGAGCAGGTGAAAAAACTGCGGCAAGCCCTATTTTACCTGCTCTGGAACGCATCAAAAACGCAAAAACGAATAAAAAATGCATGCAAGTGCCTGAAAGCCCATGTTAAACTTTTAAAAATGTTTTTTTTTTTTTACCAAAACCGGTACGGAACGCGTCAAAAACGCGTCACAACCCACTGCACTGCGTGTGCAGAAACCTGACCGGATCTGCTCTGCATTTGGTGTGAACAAGGCCTAACAGCGAGTCAGAAAGCTTACATTGGTCTGACTACATTGTACTAATGAAAGCTGAAACCTAATGGGTTGCTACTGATTGCTATTAGCCTTTGCTGTGTTATCAAGTCAATAGTGGAATACATCCTGTTGCATGTGTGTGTGCGCGCAAGTGCTGTGTAAAGAACGTGAAGGATTACATGCGTACGTTACCTATTTCTTCTCAGGTGATGATTTGCTATGAGATACTTCACCTCCCAGGAGTTTGGTACATGGAGATAGCGGCTCAAAATTGAGACGCTCAGCAGAAGTTCAGTTCTAAACAGAAATAAGGTCTCTGTTAAGCTGGGCATCGTAGAATGATTTTCTAATTCCTGAAACACAAATAAATAATATTTCCATAGAATGATACTAATAAACATGTAAACAAAGATAAACTATATAAAAACAATAAGTGATCAGCGCCAGTGAATAAATGCAAGTAAGAGCTACTAGGCACTCAAGATAAATAAAAAATATCTAAAACATGTATGACAATCATGTGCCGAGCTAAATAAATGTATACAATTCAGTGAAATATGGGAAATCACATATTTCACTGAATTGTATACATTTATTTAGCTCGGCACATGATTGTCATACAAAAGATAAACTATAACATAGAAACATTTTAAAGTGACACCTCAAGCCTCTAAACTGTTTTTAGGATTTACTTCTGGATGTTCGGGGGGTATGGAGGACTTTAGGTGCTCAGATGGGCAGGTGGATGTGGATGGACAGCAGGCATTGCGGGATGAGTGCAGGGTGCATAACACTGCGATTGGTCAATAGTGACAAAAACAGAACAGAGAGAAATTGATTAAAGGACATGTTCATTGTTAGTAAAAGCTTCAGCCCTCCCTACCTATCCCCCTAACCTAGAAAACCCCCACCGAGCTGCTCACTTTTCTCAGTATTACAGCCATGGCCCCCTTCTGCTGTTTACCTTCTCTTGGCCGAAATCTTTTTTAGAGCTGCTGAGCCTGTGCAGTGAGCCCTCAGGGCTAGTTCACACCAGCCCCAGTGCGTTCCAGCAGGATTCGGTGCTAGAATGCACTAGATCTCATCCTGGCCGGCTCGCTTCGTTCTAGGGTGGGAGGGGCGGTGTATTGAAGGTAATGGTACCGCAGCCACGCCCCCCAGGCTGCAATGCAATCGTCCACACCGGAACGCCCGGCACATCAATGGCTGCGTTCCGGTCCAATCAGAAAAAATAGTGCATGCAGCTTGTACAGAGCCATACGCTGAGACTAATGATGCTTCTGTTCTAGTCTATAGGGGGCTCGATGCACTGGTGCTGCCAGATCTAAAGAAGATTTTGGACTGGAGGAAATAAACACCAGAGGAGGTTGATTGTCATGCTGAAGTAAGCAAGCACCTGGAAAGGGGAGTTTCTAGGTTAGGTGGCCAGTTTTACCAAAAGCGAACATGTCCTTTTTTTAAGTGAGCCTTCCACTATAAGGTCCAAATAAAACAAACGCCGCCCCTTAAAAAGAGATGCTGTACACTCACCCATGTCTTAAAAATCCACCATGTAGGTGATCCCAGGCCACTGCAGCAATCCAATACATCTGGGTGTGTAGAATACCTATTCTGCTGTATGCTGTGGTTCCTCTTGCAGGCACCTACGTCACTACACTAACACATGTATAAGGTAAACATACAGCATCTCTTTATATAGGGTGGTTTTAGTTTCATTTGGACTGTTTCATCTAGGACCAGCAGTAATGAAAAGTAATATCATGGGCTGGATTTGTAAATATGAGTACAGAAATAAAGATTGGTAATATAGTAAAAAGCAGACAAAAATAAAGCACACATATGTTTTTTTGTTTCTAAACAGATTTTGAACAGATGGATATAAAAAAATACATTCACTACAAACAAAGCAAACGAGGTCTGTCCAGAAAAAGTCTAGCCATTGTTAATATAACGAGAACTGTTTGCGTGACATTGATGTAACCTGGCAGCCAAGGAGAGAGGACTGGACTGCGCATCTTTGAACAATGACGACTTCACTGTACTGGTCAGTAGGGGCAATAGACATTGTTGAGTGAGCATGTTTACTGTGTGGCCATCACATTCAAAATGACTGAGCGAGTAGAGCAACGAATCTGCATCAAATTTTGCGTTAAGCTTGAACATTCCTCCACGGAAACTATTCGGATGATTCGGAAGGCTTTCAGGGACGATGCAATGAGTGCAGCGCAAATAAAAGTGTGGCACAAACACTTCAAAGATGGTTGAGAAAATGTTGATGTTCTGGGAGGCCTGCAACAGGCAGAACACCTAAGAATGTTGAACGTGCACAGGCTGCAAGCAACAAAGATCAGCGACTGACAGTGCGAGAACTAGAAGCTGATCTAGGGATTCCAAAAACGACCATGTCCGAGATTTTGACGCAGGATCTTCCCATGAAATGTGTCATGGCAAAATTCATTCTGCGGCTTTGGCTACCAGAGCAGAGGAACATCGTGCTGCAGTTGCTAATGACTTGCTTTAAACCACTACCAATGATTCAGACTTTCTGAGGAAGGTCATAGCCACAGATGAATCGTGGGTCTATGGCTATGATCTGGAAAAAAAGTCCCAGTCGTCCCAATGGAAGTTGCCTGGTTCTCCATGGCCGAAGAAGGCATGGCAGAGTCGCAGCAAGATCAAGACCATGTTAACTGTGTTTTTTGATTGGGAAGGTGTTGTCCACTATGAGTACACTCCTCCAGGCCAAACAAAAAATAAGGAGTACTACCTTAATGTTCTTCATCGGTTGAGAGATGCAATACAACGAAAAAGGTTACAGCTATGGGCAACTGGTGATTAGCAGCTTCATCACAGCAACGCCTGCCCATGCATCACGTCTCCTGCAGTTTTTTGCCAAAACATCAATCACCAAATTGACTCAGCCCCCCTACAGCCCAGATTTGGCACCCTGCGACTTCTGGCTTTTCCAAAAACTTTGAACAGGAAGAGATTTTAGACCATCGATGAAATGCAGGAAAAGACGATGAGGCAGTTGATGGGCGATTCCAACAAATGATTTTGCAGGGTGTTTTGAACAGTGGGAGAGATACTGGGGGAATTGTGTGAGTCCCTAGGTGCCTACTTTGAAGGGGACTTAGGTGTCATTGTTCTACGTACAACGTTTCTTGTATCTTCTTCAATAAATGTCTCTATTTTTCATATTACATGGCTGGATACTTTCCGGAGAGACATGGTATTTTTGAGATTCACTCTCAGTACTAAATGTGACCACCAGGTGGCATTCTGTATTGCAAAATCGTAAAAATCAGTTCTAGGCACACAAACCCTCATTCCATTTTATGTTTACTGCATACTTACAGTGTGGAGTAGATCAAGAGCCTCCAGTTCAGATTCCATCCTGCTCATGTCACTGTACAGGCGGGATGTGTGGTACAGTGCTGGGAGACACTGAAAATTCACACTCAGAGCCTGCTTCCAGAACTGCAGGGCTGTTTGTGGCTTTGCCTAGAGCAGACAATACACTGTAACAGGTGTAAAGTTCACTGACTCACAAAAATAGACGGATTGCACTTTAAAGCCCAACCAGTACCATATGAATGCTTCTTTGTTGCTACTTGCACTATTCTGCTGAGCTAGCCCAAAGTTGTCAGTGGTGTTTTACCCAGCCTTGGAAATCGTGACTGACTACACTAGGAAGCATTACACTCTATTATTATCTCACATTTGCAAGAAAATTCAATACATAGAATAAGAGCCAGCTTAGAATATATTATAAAACTATTTTCACACTGCTTCCTGAACAGACCTGCCCCGCTAAACCCTTTGTCTCCGTTGGACAAACAGCATTGTACTGTCTCCATCAGTGACACTGTCCAGACCCATACCAATTTTATACCTATCCAAACACCTAAAACCACAACTACAGGCCGCCATCTGCTGGCAGATGCTGGATATTGCAGTTGCTGCCACAGCTGGGTATCCATGTCTCCTTTAAAACTAACCTATGCTTTGCTCCCACGGCTTCATTTGGCCACCAGGAAGGAAGCAAAATACCTGGTATTTCTGGGTATGGGGGGGGG